CTAATAATCAACTTGAACCCTAAAAGCTTTAATGTTACTTGGACTACTTGGTTACTATCCTTGGCATTATGGAGTGATGGTCTTCTTGGACTTAGGATTAGAAGTTGTGGCCTACCTTGAGCCTTTGTGACTTTGATTGTTATTTTGTCTGGAGTTCTTGGGGTTTACCCCAGGACATTGGGTTGTTTGTTTGCTTTGTGTGCAGGTTATTATGATTACACACTTTGTCTGTAATCTGGAATTCATATGTGTACAGCTGTTACTCTGCCCAATTTTTTGTGAAGACTTAATGCAATTAAAGCTTGGTATTCTTAAGATGTTTATCAATTGTTTGCTTGGTTTTAAATCCAAAGGATGGAATTTTACATTGACTCATTATGTCAAGTGTTGGCTTCTTGTTGGTTAGACGATTCTTTTCCCTAGCTTTTACCTTATGCTTTAGGGTAGTCTTTTCATCTCCTCCCATCTTCTTTAATTTCAAAAATCTCCTCCCTCCTTTTAAAAACTCTTCTTGTTTTAAACTTAAACCACTTTCACAATAAACTTGGACTTAGGTCCAAGCATTTTTAAAACATTTTCTTAATCAAACTTTAATCAAATTAATCATACTTTGACATTTTGTGTGTGAAGATTAAAAGTCAATAAATCTCATTCAGACCATTTTGCCATTTTGGCTTTTTACTTTAAAATTTTCTCAACATATTAGACTCTTGTCAATCCTTGTAGTGATACGAGCTACTATAATTCTACGGTATGTAGTGAAGTGATATATTTTCCACTTGGGTGTTGAGTGAGGCTTTGTTGATAAAAAATCCAAGCCATATCCTCCACTTTAAGACGATGATGTCTTGTCTCTTAAAATTAACCAACACACTTGTGTTTTGAATTTTTTAAAAGGTGAACTACGAGTACCCTGATCTCCTATTGCACGAAAGGTGGTACATAGGCACAAGATTCACATACGACGAAGGTGCAAAAATCATAAAAAATGTTTCTTTCCTCATCCCCACAATCCATTTTTGTATACAACATTTTATAGCCAAAACATACAGATTTTACAAAGAGGTTCCTGCGGAGTACCATAGATGTTTAGGGTGCTAATACATTCCCTTTGCATAACCAACCCCCTTACCTAGAATCTTTTCCCCCTATTTTGGGTTATTTTCTCTTTTCCTATTCCTTTGGAAACAATAAAGTGCGGTGGCGATTTTTATATTGATATGTGTGAGTCCAGTCAATTTGATGGCTTGATCTCAACATTTCTACCGCTACAAAAAAAAAGGTCACTTCACTGGGGAAAGATCGACCTATTGCTAGTCCATCCTTAAGTGGGTTGAGCCTATCTTTGTTTATCTGTATATGTGTTATTTGTTTTTGTATATTATATGTTATATACATGTTTGTCTGGATTTTCCTGGTTTTCAGGGTTCTTGGTAATTTCTCATAAGTCCTATACTGGGACTTGGGCAAGCTTAAGATAGGACGGGCGGTATAGTCATGTTAACTTTGAGGGAGTGAAACAACCGGCTGAATCGTCATTCGATAATGAAATATCAATGAAGTCACCATCGAACGTCTTTTATCCCAATAGGAAGGGAAAGGTGAACATCGAGAAAACTTGAAGAGGGTGAAATCACGGTCTTGCGACCGAGAGATCGGGTAAGGGAGTCAGTTACGGAGGGGAAGGTATTAGCACCCCACACGCCCGTAGTACTCTACAGTATCCACTCTTTTTGTCTAATCTAATGGGTGTGTAAGAATCTATATCTAAGGTGTACAGGGAATGCATGCAAAAGAAATGCGAAAAGAATGTAGGGAAAATAGAAGTTGTGATCGCTTGGGCCCTACCCCAATGCCTACGTATCCCTTTTAAGGAATCATAGCAGACGTAGTTCGGCTCATATATTTTGGTTGGTTTGTGTTTTTTTAGTTAAGGAAACAAAAGAAGCAGACAAGATGGCAAAACATCAGATAGAACAACAAAAATGTCAACAATAATGATAAAATAGTAAAAAGAGATGACAAGACATCACATGGCAACACAAACTCAGATAAGGTGGTAAAACGCCAGTATGATAGCAAAATATCAGACAAGATGATGAAACATTACACCTAACAATGATATTTAAAATCAAAGTAGGATAAAAAACATATGCGATGGCGAAACATCGGCTACAAACATGTGGGATGGCGAAACATCAGCTACAAATAGGAAGGTAACATGGATAATATGGCGAAACATCAATAAACCAGAGGACAAAACATCACACTTAACAATGATATTGAGAATCAAAGTTGGATAACAAACATGTGCAATGGCGAAACATAAGCTAAAAGAATGTGCGATGGCGAAACATCGGCAAAAGAAAATGCGATGGCGAAACATCGATAAAAAGAATATGCGATGGAGAAACATCGGCTAAAAGATGGCAAGATAACATGGTAAAGATGGCGAAACATCAATAAACCAGATGATAAAACATCACACCTAACAATGATATCGAGGATCAAAGTAGGATAACAAACATATGCGATGGCAAAACATCGGAAAAAAGATAACAAAATGTCATGGCAAAGATGGCAAAAAAATCAATTTGACAAGATTTAAAACAAAGCCAAGAGGCGTACAAACAAATAAGATTGGTTTGTATTTTTTTTACCTTTAAGAAGGATTTAAGTTTATTATAGATATTTTATGATTTTCCAAGAAGAAGTTTTAGCTTTAAGATGCAATATGCAAAGAAAAGAAAACAACTAAAGGAGACTAGCCTAGCACTACTCCTAATGTTATCATACAATAATTGATCCTATAGTTGAGTTTTGAAGGGAAATCTCTACCCTATGTTGACATGCTTGGATATCTATCCTAATGTCTATCTCGACTCATCATCTATAGATGAATCAAGAAGTCCTAAAGGAGCATAGCAAGGGTCTATCACCTAAAACCATGTCTATCTCGAATCATCATCTATAGTTGAATCGAGAGCTCCTAAGGGAACATGATGAGGATATATCATCTCAAAGCATGCACACAAAGAAGAAATCAAGCAAGAAAGCCAATAAGTTCAAGAGAACACACTTAGAGAGATCCTATCTAGGTTAGCATGTCAAAGAAAGTCTAACAAAAATATCATACGGGGAACATGCAATGAGAGCGAAGTCATGATATCAATTTCTAAATTGAGTGACTCATCGATCAACAAGAAATAAAGGAAAGCGATAAAATCCTATAGGGAGCATGCACTGAGAGAGAAGTCGTGATCTCAATTCCTAAATTGAGTGACTCATCGATCAACAAGAAATAAAGGAAAGCGATAAAATCCTATAGGGAGCATGCACTGAGAGTGAGGTCATGATCTCAGTTCCTAAATTGAGTGACTCATCGATCAACAACCAAGGAAACAAATACAAGCACAACACATATATCAAATGAAGTGCGGAATGCCTGCTATAAGTCTTTTAAACAACGACTTCGAGTGCACGCTCTTTATTTTCTACTTCTCATGATATCTAGAAAGCAGTAAAGTACTAAAATGAGATAAAAAGGGAAAATACCAAACGGATATCAACCCGTAGGTAAGCCTATCAAAACAAAGAAACCCGACAATCTTCACGAAAGCTTCACCAATCAAAGAAAAGAGTTAGAAATCAAATGCTCGGAATAAGCATCGACACATCATCGATGTGAAAATAAATCACAATCGAAATCTCCAGCGTATCCACATATCGTACAATAAACCTGCATAAGATTCACATCTCAACAAGCAAAGGTTAATTACCAATCTCAAATATAATCAGATAATCAAAATTTAATTTCCTAAAATTAAAATAAAAAAATCTACAAGTTTTTATTGATTTTATTGTTTTTATCATGTAAAGAAAAAAAAGTTCAATCAAAACTAGACAATCATCAAAGTCGTTCAAAAGAAGCTACAAAGTAGGAAAAGAAGTCCAAAAGGGGTTGCAAACTGGAATGTAGGGGTTTAACCCAACAATGGGATTCTGAATGCTAAGCCCGCTTAATTTTTGAGTCCACATAGCTGTTTTTATTTTTGCAAAGCCATTAACTATCCGAAAAAATGATAATAGGCCTAAGGGTTTGAAATTCTGCCCAACAATTCCTCAGTACAACCCAATTCAGATTTTTTGTGTTATCTATTATTTAAATGACAAAATTAAAAAATAATAATTAAATGAAAGAGGAGGAATGCAAGCTTTTGGATACAGTGTATAGGGTTAAAATAATTTTGACGATCCAACCTCTTGAAAGAAAAAAACTCTTCTCTCTTAATCTCTCATCCTCTTGTTTGTTATACGACAGAGTCGATCAACACCACCTCCTCAAATCCCTCAACCGTAGCCGATAATGCATAACCACCATTCCATCATCACCTTTCAACCATAGGTTCTTGAAGTTGAAATTAGACGGCAATAATGATGTTTCTATATTCTATTTGAAGGGCCTTCTACTCTACGCATCAATCCTTACATATATGTAACAAGAAAGAAGAAGAAAGGCGATGGGGTTCTTAATTTTGGTCTCAGGTACGTAAGCTCTACTGTAAATTTCTTCTACTCTTCTTATTTCCGAAATCTTTGTGACTTTATCGCTACTCTGAGTTTGCATTGAATTCACGGTGTTGACGTTTGGCGTGGTTCTGATTCGGTGTTGTTGTTGCCTGATTGTAGATAAAAATATTTAAGGAGCTTATTGCCATTATTCTTGATGAAGATGATGATGAGCGAAGTTGTTGATGATTTGCTGACAATGAGTTGAAGAAGGATTGTCGCAGTTTGTTGCAGATTGGATGAATATAAAACAGTTACGATGAATTTGTTCTATCGTTGAAGAACATCGCAACCGAATTGATGAAGATGTTGTTGACTTTAGGTATGTTCTTGCTCCTCTTTGATCTTTCTACTCCTTCATCTTCTTCTACTTATGCGTTTTTCTGAATCCGTATGATGCATTGTGAATTAGCTATTGGAACGATTGTTGCAGGCTACAGTGAAGACTGATATTGAAGGTGTGTGCGACGTATGTGAAGTCGCGATGAGGATGAATTTCAGATAAATGAGACGAAGAGGCAATATGTGATGAAGCATGGTGATGGCGATTTCAGAAGAAGAGAGCAGGGGAGAGTTTTTTTCTGTGAGTGTTTTGGAAGATGAAGGTGAAGATGGAGAGTGATTCATCTGCGATTGGAGAATGAATGTGATGGTGATGAAGAGTGAAGATTGGGAGAGAAAGAAGAAAGAAGTTTGGAGTGTGATTTCTGGTATTTTACTGTGATTCTTCCAAGATATTCACGAATGAATGAGATTGAAAGAGAAAGTTTGTTATATAGCAGCAAAAAGTTTGTTACAGTTAATTCCATCTAAGCCTTTGATTTCAAAAATCTGTTATAACAAATGAATGATTGAGATTGAATCTCATTTCTCATCTCAAATTCTGTTATAAATCTTGTTAGAGAAGTTTGAGACATGCTGAGCTGTACTGAGTCACAGTTTTCCCTTCCTTTGCATATTTTTCCTTTTGTCTTTATTCAAAATGATGAGCTGGCAATTAGAGTGAACAATTCTGTTATGACATTTCACGGTTTACACCTCTTCCTCTAATTTCCTAATACTGTTTTTCCTGATTTCTATTCTACTTGAACTGGTGCAGAGTAGATACAATTGGCTTTTTTTTTGTTATTTTTTTGGATCACTGCTTTCCTTCTGGTTTTTTTTTGCATTATTTTTTGGGCTGGGCTTTGTGAGCTAGAAACTTCTTGTTTTTGAACTGGTTGCTGATTTGATAAAAAAAGACTGCGAGGATGATGAGGTAGCGATGAAAGATTTGCGTATTTTCCAGTCGTTCGAGTCCTCTCACGATACCATCTTTCTGACTTTTCGAAAGCTTCTTTTCCTCCTCTCTTTCTCTGTATTCTGAAGGATTTTTGAGTGAGGGAAAATGATGATACCAAAATTAGGGCCACGATTTTGAGCTGATAACAGGCGTGCTGATTGTATTTTGGGCTTTGGAAACTTTTAGGATATGCTGTAGTTTCTAAACGTGTTATTTACTTTGCAATTTCAGACTTGTAATGTCCAACTTGTTTGGGATGGAACTCGTAATTATGATTTGCTGGACAGTGATTTTGATTTTTACTTGCTGAGAAGTTTTTGTTGATCTGAGTTTTGATAACAGGCTGTGAAATTGTTTTGTATTTGTCTTGGGCTTTTTAGCAATCTGATATCCTTTGACATTTTTTGATTTTTGTACTTTGATGTTGTTCGCCATATTACTGATATATGCATCTGTTATTGGGCTAGAATTTGCGATTTTTGGGCTGATTTTTGTTACTGCAATGTTATGATGGGCCTTTTTACTGAGTTTTCAATAAGTTGCTTCTTGAACTTCCTTTTGTGAACCAAAACTAGCTTTTTTGATTTGCAATAGAGGAGATAGGCCTATGATTATGTGCTGAAATTCTGACTTTATGAGGCTTTAATGTATGCTTGAATCATGATTGAAAAATACCCTTAATTCTCTGATTCCAAACTCAAAGCCCTAATGGTGAAACTTGAATGGAAAACTCCTTGAAAACTCTTTTGCTTGTGTTCATGTTCGATTTTCTTTGCTAACCGTGTCTCTTTCTTATTTCTTTTCATGTGAGCTTGAGAATGGTGATGAGGGAAGATGAAGAAGATGGCATGGAGCTTGACATGAAGGAAATGAAGACCAAGATCTTAAAGAAAAGACTTTAGTTCATGGCTTCGCAAGTAGCTTAGTACCTTTGTGTAATTTTCCTCATGTAATAAAACTTGCAAAATTTTAGAATGGAATCTCCATTACAAATCAAGCTTGTAACCTATAAATTGATGTAATAATCTTATCAATTTGATAAATTTTGAATGTCTTTTTAAACTTTGAGAAATTTGCAAATCCTTGTATTTTGAAGCTTGGTCATAGGACTTAAATGAATGGATGATGAATATAACTTGAATGGAATGGTTGAATAAGCTTTATGTCAAAACTCTTTTAATTCTGAATTCAATGAACCTTGAAAAGTAGCTGAAACCGTGAATAAAATTTGCAACGTTGCCATAGAAACTTCAAATTCAATTTGTGTGAAAACCATGCTTTACTGATAAACTTGAAACCTTAATGAATAAGTTCCAAGCAACTTGCATTTTTTACAAGAATTCCAACTCCATTCAAATCTAATCCACACCAACCTTGCATGATGAACAAACAAAATGATACTTTCACCCAATCTTGATCCAAGAAGGAACCAAATACTTCCATTGATTGAAATGGGATCCTTAATGCCTTCAAAAACCCTTGAGAAGTATAGAGAAATAAATTCTACTTCAACCTTGGTAATTTGGAGAAGAAAAATCCTAAGCTCGATGACAAGAGATCTCTAGGATCAAAACCCTAACCTTGTTGATCTTTCAAATCAAAATGTCTGGTGTACTAGGATAAGACTTATGATGCCACTATTTTAAGAATTTTGCCAAGGGAAAATCATTCATTCTAATAATCAAAACCCTATCCATTTCCAAATCTATGATGAAACAAATAGTCAACTTGAGATGTCATGAGGCCTTAGCCAGGTAGCCTGAATGATCAAAATAATGAGGGGATGAAATCCATCTTGGACTGTCTAACAATACAACCAAATTCCATAGCTTGGAGAAAACCATGAAGACCATAAACCTTGATCCCATCTTAAAATATATGAATATGTATGACAAAACATAAGCCACAAAAGTAAAATGAAGAGGGAAAATTTTAGGGTGAACAGAGAGTAATCCCAAAAAAGGAGGCATGAGATCCCCCACTCATGGAGGCCCCTTTGATTGTAGTGTCGTTTACCGAGTAATCGGGAAGACATACTACTTTTGACCTGGGAGCCTGCTGAAACAGAGGACCCTATAATACCTAACCCATCTTGGCCTTTTAGGTGTAGTGCAGAAGCTATGACGGAGTAATTCAGAAATAGTTGTCACGCGATACTATGCTTGAACGAGTTTTTCTTGTGAATATTACTAATTACCCAGTTAATCGGGAAGTTGGTAATATTTGAAAGAAGGATGTAGACTCTGGGAACCTCTAGAACCTTGTTTGGCAGGTGATAACTTTTAGACCACACCTTATGGGTAGTACCTTCGACCTCATGCTCGTGACGTTGAACCTATGAACCCTATGTTTGTGATCTTGTATATGATTGTTGCATAGTGCATTCATGCACCCATGAACATCTCTTAAACAAATTTTATTTCAAGGGACTTAAAAGGTGACTCTTTGTGAATATCTCAGGTACTTTTTTACTATGGATTATGGAAAAAGAAAGACCTAAAAGTATAGTTTCAAAGATCCCAAGATAGATGAGTTGACGAGTATGATTCCCAAGATTAAGTGTTTTGCAGATTTTTGGAGGAAGTATGGGTCCATCATTTCTCTCATGAAGCTCAGGATGAAGGAGGGTATTCTCTTGACTTTGGTCTAGTTCTATGATCCTATGTATCGATGCTTTACTTTCCCTAATTATCAGTTGATGCCTACACTAGAGGAGTATTCTTATCTACTGGGTTTGCCAATTACCGGTCTTGTTCCTTTTACTGGTTTGGAGGGGGAGTCAAAATCCCATGAGATTGCTGCTTTGATCCATTTGGGAAAGTCTGAGGTTGAAGCCCACATGACTACCAAAGGAGGGATTAGAGGATTACCATCCCAGTTCTTATTAGAGAAAGCTTGCTACTTTGTTAGGATGAAGAGTACGGTTGCTTTTGAGGCCATTTTTGCTCTACTTGCTAATGGGTTGTTCTTGTTTTCCAATGTAGTCAAATTTGTTGATATCAATGCCATCAAGATCTTTATGATAGGGAACCCAGTTCCTACATTATTAGGTGATGCTTATTACTCTATTCATCTTCTAGATTCTTATCATGGAGGGATGATCATCTTCTGCATGCCTTTGTTGTATCAGTGGTTTACTTCTCTTTTTCCTCGGCCTGATGCTTTCTGGGATGTCAGGAAGGAACCTTGTTGGGCTCCAAAGATCATGGCACTTACTCATTCAGATATTATTTGGTATCATCAGGCTTACCATGATGTAGAGATTGTCGACAGTTGTGGTAGTTTACCCAATCTACCTCTTCTTGGTGCAAAGGGAGGAATTAACTACAACCCTGTTCTTGCATGGTGACAACTTGGATATTCGATGAGGGATAAGCCAAATAGTATTCATTTGTGTAGTTTCTTCCTGAAAGAGGGAAGACCATAAGGAAGCTAGGGAGAAAATTGCGAAGGCCTGGCGTCACATTCACATGAAGAGTAAGAAGGACTTGGGACCTAGGGGGCTGTTTCTTTGGAGCCTTATCTTTAGTGGGTACAAGCAAGAGCCATTCAGTTGAAGATGCCGTATTCCCGGGAAGCACCTATGCCTGATATGTTTGTGAAGACCACTCCTCCCCTATTGGATGATATGGAAGAGATCCAGCTTGCTTTAGTCAGGATGCAGCAAAAAAAGGAAGCTTGGAAGAATAAGTGCCAGATTCTAGAGGTTTCCTACCGAACAGACCTGAAGGAGAAAGACGAATTGATTGAGATTCTTGAGAGCCGTGCTGTAGAGACGATTGATAGGCAATGGGATTTATTTTCCTATAAACCTCAATCAAGCCCTAGTTGCTCACTTCCAGATTCATATGATTGGAAGGAGGTCATCACCAGATAAGCTGAAGAAAACTAGAGGTTGAAGGCTCAGATTGCCAGACTTACAAGGAAGCGTCAGCATATAGAGTGATCTCCACCAGCTTTTCTTCTTAGGGTTTTATAATTTACTTTCATCTTGTACTTGGGATTCTTGAAACTTGTAATCCATTTTGAAGTTATTATAATAAAGTTCTTCAGTATTTCAAATGTGTTATTACTTTGATATATGCAAAATTGTCTATAAATCTTTAATCCCCTTGAAATAGTAATAATAAAATAAATCACGTGCATTGCACATCATGCATCATATTGTACACACTTATTGCATTATTTTTCATATCTAGGTGTCTTACTGAGCTTCTTTACTTCATTCAGCAAACTATCTCACCAGTACAATACCCGAGCTAATTTCAGAAGGAGGATGGATAACCTAGAACAAGAGAATCACGAGCTGCGCGAGGAAGTTTCTGCTCTGAAGGCCGGTATGGCC